GAACGAGTCATTCATCCCTCTGTGCCTCAGTTGGTCCACTCTAAAAGAAGGATGATCATAACTCTATGAATGTGTGAGGATTTGAGGAAATCACGTGTGGAAAGCGCCAGGCACAGAGGCTCATTCCACAAATGTTTATCGAGGGTCTCCTACGTGCCAGGCATCGTCCTAAGAGCTGGGACGACCAAGAGGAGCAAGCACAGGTCCCACCTCTGCCCTCCTGTTTTTCAGTCCAGTTGAGCTTTCAGTCCAGTTGAGGATGTGGGCATTAATTAGAGAATCATACAGATTTTTATCTCCAAATTGGGCCAAGGACTAGAAAGGAAAATTACGCAGAACTCCACTGGGCCCTGACCTATTCCAAAGGCATCTTTCAATAGCATTTGAATGGAGATGGAAAGAAAGAACAGGAAAGGTGAAAAAGAGGTGTCAGCTCCCCCCCACCACCCTAAGGTGCTTTTGTGCATTAGGAAAGGGTGCCCCTAGCTTAGGGCAGGTGCAGCTCTGCCCTTGAGCGTGGCTTAGTGAGCAGAGCCTGGGTGGGGTTTCAGTGTCCTCTGGCCCATCCGAGTGTCGAGCAGAGAACAGCCTGCACAACTATGCAGTGCAGTTAGGCTAAGGGGCCACTGGAGGCAGAGGAAAGTCTCTCTGCAAAGGCCCTGAGGTGGGAGGGCACGTTTGAGGAGAGAAGAAGGGCCAGCATGTCTGGAGCACAAGGGGCGAGGCTGGCGGGAGGGGCGTCTGGACGCTCTCGGTTAATATCAGCCAGTTAACATATGATGGCACCGTCCTAAGTTGCCTGCCAGCACATCGAAGTCTCCTGAGGAGCATCAGGGTCTCTCCAGGAGCTGTTGGCTTTTCACTAGCAAAGGAGAAGTACTAAAGCCGTGTGATTTGTTGGTGTCACACAACTGAGATTTAGAGAAATCGGACAACGGACAGAGAGAGACACATTACGTGGAAAGCGGGTTGCCGACACACCTCCAGCGGCAGCCGTCCAGCGCGATATGAATGCCCCGCCACAGCCCGCCAAACTTGGCCTCAGGCAAGAAGAAGCAAAAGCAGAAACAGAACCAGAAAAAAAAGCCAACACATCATGCAAATAAAGATGGAAACAGAACATCAGGGCAAGGTTTCTCATAATGCTGTCATTTTGAAGGTGTAATTATCTCTCCAAAGAAGCAGAAGAATCTCCTTTACTTGGTGTCTTAGACGGGAAGGACCTGCCTGGCCGGAGAACAAGCTCCTGGCAACGACACTGCTCGCCAGGAAGAGTCTCGATAACCCCCCGGGGTTCCTCCTGGCTTTGATTTCTCTGATTCTAGAATAACTCCAAAGAGCATGCATTCATTCACACAAATGTACTGTGTCAGGGGTGGGTTTTTTGGTGGTGGCGGTGGCGCTTGTTTCGAAGTCATTTTAGAGGGAAATAAAACCCCAGACCCTAGAGGATCGTGCGCTGTTGCCTGTTAGCTGTGCAGTCTGTGCCAGGCTGGGCGCCTGCCCGTGCTTGCCCACTGGAGGTCTGGCATGAGCAGGGCATTATGAGGGACGCCAGGGCTTTGGGATCGGATGGGTTTCGGGCCCCGACTGGGCCACCTACAAGTCGTGTGCCCGTGGGCAGGTTAGTCAACCTGTCTGCACACGGGAGTCCCTGTAAACTCAGATGATGGCTGTCACTGGGGACAGCTCTGAGGCCTCGGCTCTTGGGTGTCCCATGCTCGCAAAGTCGTTTCTGGGGACCCTGCCCTGGGAGCAGCCCCATGTGACCCACATTCTTTCCGAGGTTTATTTCTTTGTACTCATCTGAAATGTCTTGACTCCTGCTTTTCAGAGGTAGCTGTGCTTTGGGGAAACATAAGGAACCAGAATGAAGTCAGCCTTGTAGGCTCTTACCAGCATTTAGTATCTCTATAAAACTTTTAGGGGGAAAAAGCGGGGGCATTTAGCCATGATTTTTAAACGTGGCATCTATGATCAAGAATCACGTTACATGGAAGCAACCTAAGTGCCCATCAACAGACAGTTGGATAAAGAAGTTACGGTACAAATGTGCAGTGGACTATTACTCAGCCGTTAAAAAATGGAAATCTTACCATTTGCAACGTCATAGGTGGACCTAGTGGGTATTATGTTGAGTGAAATAAGTCAGAGAAAGACAAATACCATATGATTTCACTTACATGCGGAATCTAAGGAACAAAGAAAGGAGCAAACTAAACGAAAACAGGCTCACAGATCCAGAGAACAAATAAATGGGCGATTGCCTGAGGGAAGGGGGGTTGGGAGGCTGGGTGAAAACGGCAAAAAGATGAAGAAATACAAATTAGCAGTTACAAAACAGACAGTCACCAGGTCGTAGAGTATAGCATAGGGTATACAGTGTCATAGAGATGGTCGTGTGTGGTGCCAGGCGGATACTAGACTCATTGGGGGATCACTTCATAAATTATATAAATGTCTAACCATTGTACCGCGTACCTGAAGCTAATATAAAGAACAGAAAAAAATCACAATGTGAAAAATCCCACAAGAGCAGACACTGTCAACTGACCCAGCACTTGAGATATTTAATCGCTTATTAAGATGTAGTAACGGAACTTAAAAATATGCTTGAATTTAAGTCACATTCAACTGGAATGTACACCGATCAGAGATAAATTCTAATATTTCGCTTTCGGGAAAGGGACAGACTAGTCAATTTCCCTTCAATAGAAAGTTGGAAAAAGAGACTTTTATCGTATCTTAGTCCTGATGCAGTTTGTACAGGTAGCTTGTGTTCTGTCTCTTGCTCTATGTCAATAACTGCATGTGGACTGACATGCAGCTTCAGTACACCGAGTTTCAAAGCGGAGCAGGCTAACGGTGATTTAAGATTATGCTGGTTAAAAACAAAAAATGCATTGCAGATTTTAAAATGAAAAGATGCTAACTCAAGCCTAAATTTTTCTATCAAGTGATGTAGTTGCTTTGTAAGAATGAGAATGGACGAGGCACTTAATCAGAGAGGCCATTATGTTGTCACGGGGCCTTGCTGAGGCTGAAGGACAGATTCTCATGGGCCTATGACCATTTTATTGCTTTTCAGCCCACGGCCACCAATCCCACTCTCCCTCCTGCTGACAGAAGAAGAAGCAGCGCTCTATATTCAGTCCTTCTGGAGAGCCTATCTGGTAAGAGTCACGCACAATTATGGCATTTAGCCTGACGGGGAATTTTTGTGATGTAGAAGACCCATGGGAAAAACCGTCAGATGAATTTGAAACAGAGGATGTTATAGTTAACATCCAGACCTCGGAAACAAGATTCTCTGTAAAACAGTTCTCAAGAGTGATTTAGAATTTTTACCATAATGTATTTTACAATTATCATTACAAGTATCCTCTAACCTTTTAAAGTGTAGGTTGACTGGCCTGTATTATCTGAAAAATAACATACAGAGAGCAACACAAGTTCATTTTAGAAAAAAAAAATTAGATAATTCAGATAAAGGAAATACAGATTGTTGAGTCACGGATAACTCAGTCACCCAGAGATGATCATTGTTGACATTTTGATGTCAACGTTTCCAAATCTTAAAAATTGTAATACATAGAATAACATAAATACCTAACATACAGAAGGTAACCTTTTCTTTTAAAACCTATCTTTTCTAACCACTTTTCTGTTGGTTATTTCCAGTTTATCGTTATTAACTGGAATAAATGTTGGAGTCCAGATCTTTGTGCAGCTATATTTACCTGTTTGTTTATATAGGAGCTATTCTAGAAGTGGAATTTCTAGGTCAAAAGGTGAGTTTCTTTCTTTCTAAGACTCCTGATCCATATTGTCATGTGGTCTTTGAGGAAGGATGTACTTTTAAAAATCCTTACCAAATACGTGTGAGAGTGGCACATGTGTCTCGTGCTAAAAAGTGTATAGCCTCTGCGACGAGTTGGCCACTAGAACATCAATGTTATAAGCTTCCAGGTAAACACGAAGCCCCCATCCCGGGTTGCAGGATGGCCGCACCCACGTCTGAGTGTCACCCATCAGTGGGACGAGTTTAGATCTGGTATCAGTGGTGGCAGACATCGCCACAAGAGAAGGTCCCAGTGTGTTCACATGGTGGCCAGAGATCACCGTATTGAGGCATTCCTCAGAGCCAGTGTAGAGGAAGCGGACCGAGGTGGACACACCGGCCAAGTCATCCATCAAGAAGTTAGATTAATTCTACAATCCGTTAATCGACAAAATGCCTGTCGTGTGACCATTAACTAGGACTGTCGTCGACGACGAGGGTCTCACGGCCTGAAGTGCCGTCGTCCAGTCATCTCACTCCTTTTGTGCACGGCACATTCCTAAAGACGCGGGTCAAAGTCAGGTGTGAAAATGAAATAGTAGACTCGCACATACTGAGGAGTGGAGCAGTCTGTCCCCAAAGAGTGAAAACCAGTCACAAAACCCTCTTTTATTCCCCACGATTTAGACACGATCTGTGCCGACGTAGGTTTTCAGCATTTCATACTTTTTTTATAAAAGTGGTCTTTTTCCTGTGGGTTTGCTTGCATTCAGTGACGTCCAGCCCAAGCCAGAGATTCCCAGCGTCCACATGCGTCTTGAGTTCCACCTTTGTCCTCAGCGTCTTTCATTCGTGAGACTTAGACTTTTTATACTAAAATCAGCAGTTCCACTTTTCTATTTTCTGTTCCATTTTATGAAACGAGAGCAAAATGCAAAGACCTAGTGATTTTCAGACTCTGTTTCTTTAAAACAGCAAAGCCCCGTCTTCACACCAAATCATACCCAGAAGCCTGGTTTGAAGCCAGTCTGTAATAATAAGTGGGGATGTTCTTCCTCTGCTTCTCCCGTGCAGTAAGACTCCCCTATCCCCCCCACCGCCCCCACACAGGGGCCTGTGTTATGGGCACTAAATGAAAAGCATAGTCTGTCAGACAGCTGACTCCAGCTCATCACGCCAGCAAACGCTGCCGTATAAAGATGTCCAATTGGCCTAAAATTGAACCGCGGCTATCGTACCATAGCTAGAAGTGTTCCTCAAGGTATGAAAGTTGCGTAGGGGGTCCGTGGGTACCGTGTGGGAGTTTGGGCTGCTCAAAGCCAACATCTGTGCTAAAAACAGCTGGAGGGGGCCAGGTGACGGGGAGAGGGCCTGAGTTGTCACTAGAAGGAAAACGTGTGGTGGGTGAGATGACCTTGGAAGTTCCCAGGGAAAGGAGGGACTTGATCACGGCCGTAAAGAAAAGATGGGGCATGGGAGTATCAGCTGGGACCAAGAGACGATCCCAGGGAGAGGAAGCAGCATGTGTATATTATACCATTTTTTGTTAAAATATAGTGTATATTTTCGACAACTATACACACACACACACACACGCACACACACCATGCATAGGAAAATATCCGAAAGGAAACAAAGCAGCCTGATACCAGTGGGTACTCTGGGGTGACTGGGGAAGAATTAGGGAGATTCTAGCCTTTAATGTACTGAACAGATTTTTTTTACAAAGATAACGTAGCATGATTCTCATGAATTAAAAATTAATTTAAACCATGTAATCATCTCAATGGATGCAGAAAAGGCATTTGACAAAGTCCAAAAGGCTTTCCTAATAAAAACTCTCCACACACTGGGTATAGGAAGGAACTAACAACTTCTTACCTGGAAAAGGGGAGCGAGAGAAACCTCACGGCTGCATCGCAGGCGAAGGCTGGACGTTTCCCCTAAGACAGGAAGGAGACGAGGACGTTTCAATTCAACATGAGATCGGAGGGTCTAGCCAGGGAAATTAGGCAAAAAAGAAATAAAAGGCACTCGTATTTGAAAGGAAGAAGCAAATTTATCTCTAGTCATATATGACATGGTCTTTTACTAGAAAATTCTAACTAATTCACTAAAAAAAAACCAATTAGAATAAATAAGCAAAGTTGAAGGGTACACGATCGATATACAGAAATCAGTTGGATTTCTATATACTTAGCAGTGAACAATCTGAAAATGAAATTAGCGAATTAAGAAAATTCTACCCTTTAAAAGGGTGAATTTTATGGTCTGTGAATTCTATATAAATAAGTAAATAAATATTACGGAAAAAATAATATGAAGCAAACCATCATTTTATTCCTTTTGATCACGTTTTCTTCAACTACTGATTTTTGGCCCAGCTTTAGTCAGTAACAACTGAATATCCTCTGACTAGAAAAAGGGATTTTCAAGAATTCACGACGTGTACTTCTAACAGCCAACACGCATATAAACTTCTTCCTTACACACTCCCCGTGTAGTGTTTACTGCACTTAACCGTGAAGGTATTTTTTTTTTTAATTAACAAAAACCTTTATTTGTACTTCCTTAAACGCCAGGAAGAAGAAAACATAGTCTCTCCCCAAATTTCTTTGTGTTTGGTTTACATAACATAAAATTTACCATTTTAACCATGTTAAGTGTACAGTTCAGTGACATTAAGTACAGTCACATTGTTAGGCAACCATCGCCACCATCCTTCCCCAGAACTTTTCTCATCTTTCTAAAGTGAAACTCTGTCCCCATTAAACAACGACGTCTTATGTCTCCCTCCCCCAGCCCCTGGCAACCACCTTTCTACTTTCCGTCTCTATGATTTCGACCAATCTAAAGTAGAATCGTATAGTATTTGTCTTTTTCGCGACTGGCTTATTTCACTTCGTATAATGGCCTCAAGGCCATCTATATTGTAACATGTGTCAGAACTTCCTTCCTTGTTAAGACTGACTTAATATTCTTGCCAGGAAGTCTTAAAATCCAGAAATTTGACATCCTCACTTATAAAGCTAGCCGGACTTCTCATAAAAAAAATATTTTTTGACTGACCACATGAACAGAAATGTCACACGATACGAAAAGCCGTTGGTCGTGAACCATTCTCGGTAGCTGTGACTTTATAATAATTAGCATTGTAAATAGGGTCCTGATAGTTTTTACTAGACATTGAGCGCTTCCATAGAAGTAGACGTGTTCTTCTTTCTTTTTTCAAAATACCCAATTAACGGTTAAAAAGCCAGAATGAGTGGTTTTTTTTTTTTTTTTAAAATCCACTCGGATATAGTGAATGAAATCTGGTCCCCTGAACACTCTCCTTTCTGCGGTGTGATTGGTGATGAGCCACATTGCCACACCGGCGGGCTCTTCTGCTTACACAGCGCTGGACGCCCTACGTGGACTTCAAATGAGGTTCTCGTGGACCATAATGATTGAAATTTCTTTCATGATTTAGGAGGCAGAGACCTGATAAATCCACTGGATATTTATTCTGTCTGAATAAGCTCTCGGGGTTTTACGCCTTCTGCCCATTTATTTTATTTGATTCTGTCTAACTCAGCCTAGACACTGGCCAGGCCTCCCGCCTTCCCCTCCTCCCACCATCAGCGTCCCTGCCAGGCATCGTGACAACTGAGAATCACAAAGGCCATCAATCATTACCGTTATTTGATGAACAATACAGTCAGTGCGAGGTGGCTCCAGCAGCCCCTCTGTGGCTTTGCAAATTTTTTTTTTTTTTTTTTAATCTGATATCCATCTGCAGAGAAGAATGAGAATCTGTGTATTTATACCTTTGTCTTGAGCGAACTGACCTGGGGTGAGTGAGGCGCCCCAAGGAGAAATGGCTTGTATAAAGGAAGGGAACAAGATTTAGAGCTGGACTGGGGGTCCCCTGCCCCTCACAGCTGAGGTGGGCCTGTGCCAGCTTGGGCACTCAAATACGGCATCCCTCTGGCTACAGGGATTCGTTGATGGGAAGGGCACCCAAGTCGGGCTGGTCACATCTATGATGCTCCATTCTGGGATCTCAGAGGAGCCTTTGGGACAGAGCGGCTCACGTGGCACTGGGGTTGCCGAGAGGCCCGGCTGTCAGCAGCCATGTCGCCTCTGTGTGAAGGGCCTGCGGAGAAATGACCACGGAGGCAGCCAGGCTGAGACGGAGCGGGCCTGAGCCTGCAGACATCGTTGGAGCTGCTGCATTCAGCCATGCCAGCGAACCCTCTAGAGTCTTGACGATTATAATTTTCAATATAGAAATTTCTAGACTCATGATCACTTGCACACGAAGGAGGCTATTGGCACGAAATAAAAATCGAGGTCTATCGTGCATAGCAGCCATCCCAGTTTTTCCCAGGAACAACCGTGGCCTGTATT